CAAACTCTAGAATTACAGCTCGAGTTTGGCGATCAATCCATCCATTAGTAATAGTATCGTCGAGGACGCCTTGTGCAGTGCTTTCATCGTATCCCATGACTGCTGCATAACCACCCCCTTCATAACAGTTGTACGGCGCTATAATGGGATCGTTCCGAAGTTCTGCTGCTGATTGATACCGCCAAGGCTTAGGGCAAACTTGGAGAGCATTGGGCCACGAGGTATTGAGGGATAGAGGTATCCAACCTGGAAGGCTCAGCAAAGTCGTGTCCTCATTTTCCGGAGAATAGTCGTAATAACAATCCGCTATCATTTTCGCGAGTGATCTGCAGGAATCTTCAAATAAAAAAAATTGCATAAATTACTTTGAGATTTGCCCCTCTTGATAAATGATGATAAAGTGAAACAGAGAAAGAGAAAATTGCTGACAAAAGAAAAAAAAAGCACGCCAGTGAATTTTTTATGATATCGGGTGAAAGGTTCTGGTTCTAAAATTGCTGTTGAGTTAAGTCCTAAGTAGCGAGCTGAAATGTATCAGTAAACTAGTATATGTTCTTTAATGCCTACGCCCCATTTTCTAGAGCCTCCAGTAGTATAATTTAGGATATAAGTTAGGAGCCTTTTAATTTCCAGATCACTAGACATGTAATTACAGTTATTGGAATTCATTAAGTCACTATGACATTTTCCTCTTTCAACCAGCACTTTTCAATTGCATATAAGGGATTTTCCCACCAATTTAGAAGCTCCATTGTCAATCTTTAGTTTATTTATTAAAATGATACATTCTGATCTAAGTTTACTTTTTCTAATTCTGAGCTGTCGCAACCACGGCATTCCCACCAATATCGACATCTTGTTCCCGATGTACACGTCGTTTTTCTCTTCAAGTCCGTTGTACCACGCCTGGTTATAAATGTTTAATATAAATTCGTTCTTTAATCATGCTTCTAATCTGTGCGCATCCTTAACCTAGAGTAAAGAACAAGAACTTCTAATATAAACACATTAAGATCCAAGAACCCTTACGAAGAAGACAGAGGGTGCGATTCGCATGATCGTTAAACAAACGACAAGCAAGAGCAAAGCAATATACAAAAGACAGGAACAAAGCGAAGGGGAGAAAGAGACAAATGAAAAAATAGAGAATTCAAACGCCCATGGAACTCAATAGCAAACTAAAATACGAAATCCATGGTAACATCCCTACTACCTTTTTGTAAAGGTAGAAGTCATTATTTACATCCACTAGAAACCTGCTCCAGTACAGATATATTTGTCTTACCTTAGCCTGCTTACTTGCCATCGCTAGGTGTGGTATTGCGACTAACTTTATTACCTATTTCTCTTTTAAACATCCACGAGTCTGTAATCTTTCATTGCTATAAGGATCGATCGCCAGGCAAAATAGCTTTTGAATACTGCCAAATATTTTACAACTGCGGAACTATAATCAGGAACTATAATCTTACCAGATTAAACTCCGTGAATCGATTTCTCGTCTCGGTGGTCATCAGAAAACGATTTCCATTCTTGTTTCCATAAGATACGATGGCTAGAAGAAATACAAATATTAAATGCAGAATAATGTCTCTTGTCATACTTGTTAACTGAGCTTCTTTTTTTGATCTCTTCCTCATCTTTTCCCGCTGATATTTCTCAAAGCGCTGTTTGGGATCATCGCCCGAAAAATCTATCTCAATTGCTTGTAGATCGATAGCAGGCTCTTTTTCTTCTTCTTCTTCTTCGCACTTGCCTTTGTTCTTTCTTGTCAGGAGAAAGGAAATAACGATAACTACTATCATAACCTTCGTAGGCTGCACAACAAAAATATCTTGTCCATTGGAAATTAGAATAGAAGCAAGCCACTCCTCAGAGGTTTCTTTTCCCCACATCAAACTGTAAAATAGCGTAAACGTTGCTGCTGTCATAGTTGTACAAAAGCAAAAAAACCAGCCTAGATAGACAAAGAAATGAGGAAGCAGGTAATCAGTGTCCTTTATTTCATCCAAAAGTCGTTGGGCCTCGTCTGTAACTTGGTATTTTTCGCTCCTTTTCTTCCTCGGTTTGCTGGACTTAAATAAGAAGGCAACTATTATGTTTACTGGTGCAATGATAATGCCACTTTGTGCTCCGATGACTATCTGTCTCCAAGAAAACTTGAAAGGCCCAACTTGTATCGCACCATCTGATTCACCACCAGTGTTATAAAACATGGCATTTGCTATCATTGCACTAAACAGAACTGAAAGGCAACATGAAGCTCTTTGCACACGTGTGAAGATACTGCTACATGCTTTTCCAAACACTGACATCCACAAGTGACTGTCGGCAATTTTTCTGGCAAAGCACGAACGCACCTGAGCTGAGAAGGCAGAGCGAGATTTGCTGTCCACAGTAACCTCTATTTGGCCGTCGTCTTTTTCCAACGCAAGCCACCTATTTATAGGGAAAACCCACCTTTCTTCGGTCTGGCGGTCTTGGATAACTACGCTTTCTACAAACCAAGACGGATTATCACCCGAATTATCGTGAGCCAAAGTAATTTCTCTCAAAGGGCCAATGGATTCTTTCAACACGAGAACAAAGCCGTTAATACTCCCACGTCCGAAAAGCTCGCTCCACTCCCCTTTCTCCCTCAATGGAATTTGACTCTGCTCATAATTTTTCCCCTTGATACTGATTGTTATGTTAGCTGTTGTTGCGGAATGTTTCCAAACGCCAGTGCTTACAACCATATCATAATAATAGGCTCCTTCTTTCACAAGCGGTATCAATTTGGGTGGGCAAATCTAAAAAAAAAACAACAGCAACAAAACAAAAAACATTCAAAGGTCAAAATAATTCGAAATACACGACTTCAGGTTGAAATATGATTACCTTGTCTAGATCTCTCTTGTCGGCCCTCCTTGCAAAGATTAAGACAACGAGGTACAGGAGGAAAATACAGGCAATTATCACAAGTACTGAAATATTGTCACTTTCAGCAAGGTTTAAAAACCCGGTAAAAACTTTGTCGAAGTCAATTGGGTTTGGTGCTTGGATAAAATTTCCACCAAAAGATGTTAAATGATTGCAGAGACATTTAAGATGGGTGGTGTTCGAGTCTTGGCTAACCTTTAAAAAACACAAAATAAAACAAATCAATTAAGCGAAAGAAATGAACATGATGTTGTCCTTTAATATATACCAAACAAGGGATTAGTGGTATTCGTGTCCGTTGATTAGCTATTTCAAAGGTAAATAGCAAGTACTATCCATCCCCGAGCAGCCGATGATACAAAAGCAGAGACAAGAGTTCAATTTCTTACCATTATTTGTTATAATGAAAGAACAAAACTGCTATTTTGTATCTGTGTGATACACATTAAAACAATTATTCACCTCGACTTTTGTAAATGATTGTTTTCAATTTAAACTCAAGCACGATCTTTATTAAATTAGCAAACTTTAATCCCGAGCTGAATTGGTGAATTGCTTTAGTAATGAACCTTATGACCCGTTGGACACAAAAAAGAAGACATGAAAAAGAAAGAAAGGTGATTAACGGCTTAACGATAAATTTATAGCCAATTAGCATTGTAGAATCTGAAATGTCTATACCGACAACTCCTTCCCATAAATATGTTAAGAATGACTAATCGGTTGTTATCGTCATGGAAGGGAGGCAACAATGACAATTGCATTAGGGATTTCACCCGGTAAAGCTTACTTAGTAGCAGAAAAATTACTAAATGATTAATTTTTACCCGGCAACCTTCTGCGGTCCACTCCTCTGTGTTCTCTGACCAATACAAACAACTCGATTGGGTGATGGTCAAGGTGTAGTTAACGTCTGTATTTGAATCATACTTCGGAAACACAGTGCTAAGAAATCCTTTTGGCGGTGGATCTTTAGTGCCCACACATGACCGTCTTTCGCGACGGTTTCCAAAGCAGGATCTCCTTTGCCTGGAATGTTGACTTTCATTCTTAAGGCTTTTAGACAATAGGCCCGCGTAGAGGAAACCTGGCTTAGAAGGCATCACTGTAACTGAGCTATCTCTGATAAAGCAATTTGCATTAGCATCCGTTTGGTTGCCACATGTAGATGCAAACGCCATTGTAAAATTGTGGTCAAAGTCATTAATCGTTGGTCTTTTTCCAAATTTTATGAACAGACTGATTTGTAATCCTGCTTTGGCTATAGCCAACTTAAGAGATATAGGAACATTGGCTAGTTCTGCGTATTAACTTCGAACTGAGATTTGATTTGGCTTCAGAAAGTTATGCTGCGTCCCTTTGGTGGAGTTTTGAGGTGGACTTGAAATGGGAATCAAAATCTCGATGTCATTGTCAAAATTTGAAACATTTATCTTTTCCGCGCTGTTGCTTTTAAGCTCAAGACTCGTGACACGTGATTTGATTTTGCTGCTGCTATTGTCCCAAGTGAAAGGGTTAAAATCAACAGCTTGCATCTGAAAGAGAACACAATACGGAATTAGTAATTTTACTCAACAAGGGTGATTCCAGGAGTTTTTCTCGCGTACAAAACATTTGAGTTAACTAATTTTATCATTTTGTTATTGTAATTGAGATGTGGAGAAAAGAAAGTGTAATATAAACTAAGCCAGCGATGACTTGAATCATTCCCAAGTGAGTTAAGATAAGGATGCCATCATACCTTTGCATTTATCTCTCCACCACCTATATTTCCAAGGCTGCTCGGGAGCTTGAATTTACTTGGTCCATCTCCCATGCTGAGTCCTTTTGCATCATTGGCTGTGACCTTTTTCAGAAATATTGTCAAGTTTGGAGTTTTCAGGACCAGCTCTTCTGATGGAACCAAGCGGCCAAAAAATGCATCACTCATGTTGCTCAGTTTTTCGGTGGCCTTCTTCACGAACTGAAAGGAAAGTTAGTGAATGTTGTTCAGTCATCTGATAACGTAGATAATCCGATGACTTTTCTGACTTATTAGACCCGAAAAAATCTTTCTGCTTTCAAATCTGCTGCTTTCATTGGTCTTGCCATTTTGTTCGCTTAATGTGAATTCTATTCTGCTTAGAACTGACCTATCCTGAATTAATGGCGAAAAAGAAACTCCAACTAGGGAACGTATGGAGAAAGGACTGATCTCTACGATAGTCGTAGTTGTAACTGAACGTGTGATCTTTACCTCTGGAGTGGGTAGGGTTACTGCTAAGTCTGTGTCGTCCTGACTCGATCCTGCAGCTAACTTGATAATATTTGTGAGGCAGCCTGTAATACTTGTAGCTGTTTGTTCTAACTCCGGCGTGAAAGGCTCCTCTGGATCGTTAAGGATGGAAACCATCATATTAACTGTAATATCAGTCAGTTGCATCGTTATTTCCTAAGGAGAATAACACCAATGTGTCATGTACCGCACCAGAATTAAAATTGTAAGGAAAGATTGGTGGATTGGAAAACTTAGAACATTTGCAAATCAGATCTATTTATTTTTCAAAATACCAATAACGAGTGACTAAAAAAGAATAAAGATGTCAATTATTACGATTCACCTTAGAGGTTAAGCTTGTTGCTTATCGCGGTTAACAGATCAAAATATTTCGAAGGGATGCATCGTTTTCTGTAGATAATTTGTCACTAATGGTTATCGTTCTTAGGTTTGAACTTGGATTTACGTTACTAAAAGGATTTAAAAGAAAGAGGAGATAAAAGTGGTGTACCATATTGTTATTGTTGCTGTCACCGCTACCGTCACTGCAGCTCTTGCATTTTTGTTCAACCCGTAGTCCCATGGCCAAGCTTACTACTGACATAACCAAGCGAGACATTTCAAGATTCTCTGGTGTTTTAGCTGTAAACTTCGATATCAATGTGTTGGAAATCTAGCAACAAAAAGAAATGGCACGTCTCATTAACAAATAGAAAAGGCTTTAACTGTGCTCTGTTCAGTTGTAAAGCATATAGAAAGCGGCTAGAGGACGAAAGAAGTGTAGGGAGAAACACGAATTGTAGTTGAGTGTTTCTCCCCACTTCTTGAGTGCTCTAGCCACGTCCTAAGTACTCTACAACAGAACAGAGCACAGTTAAGGCTTCTCTATGTTTTTTAATAATAAAAAAGCCGTTAAATTCCCCGCTCATTACTTTCAATTTTCAAAACAAACTTCATTTCCAGAGAGAAAAGAGAGTCGTTAACATGCTGCATACTCCCATAGAGCACGCTACAATAAGCCGCTCAGAATCCGCGTTAGAATTGTTATGGGCAATTGATGTTACTTCTAGAAATTTTCGGACTGCTGAGTCATGCTGACTTGCATATCGTAGAACTTTCGAAAATATTTTATCAAGTCATGAATTTATTACGTAAAACTACTAAAATAGTTCTGGTGTAAGCTGCTGGAATGTTCCAGAACACTTTGTGATTATATTTAAAGACTCACTTATATAGAAGTAGTGGTTGTTGTCGGAGCGACGACTGTTTTGAAAGCTATACTTATTGAGATTACTTATTGCAAGGAACTTTGGAGACAGCAGTGAGATTGTGTCAGTAGTGAGCTAGGATTTAGACTGTGGTGGGCTTAATTAAGTTGATTAACGATAAGTATTATACTGCTTTTGGGGGTCGCTCCTTGTTAAGAACATTGCTCACTTTTTAATAAAGTGGTTGAGTTTATGAAATTGTAGCTTTTTTTCTGTCGGTAAGCTTGTACCGTAACAGATTGGGACAAATGATGGTTGAACAAGACTAAACCTATCAAAAGTATCAAACCATCAAAGTTCACAAACTATCAAAGGTCACAAACTATCAAAGATCATAATATGCAATTGTTTACAGCTTCAAATGGATCGGTAGATGGAATTTAACACTTTTGCCTGAAGCTTTTTAGTCTCTAGTATAGAATCTGATAGTTACATGTTCAGTGAAATCCGGCCCAATTGTAGCTCATTAAAACACGCAAGTTTTTTCTCATGCCAAGTAGACAACAAACTTCCTAAGGCCGGTGTGTTTTACGATTAAACAATAACCGAATTAACCGGAATATGAGGATTTCTCGGGATGACTGCGCCGTAAAACTCGGCTGTTGTGATTGATGCAGCCTTCCACTCAATTCATCCACTCAACGCATCAGAAAGGATATCAGAGTAGGCTCCTAATTATTCACTCGAAGGGCGGCTGATGTAATTTCTGAGGCTTGCTTCACTGCGATGACCGGAGATCACCATGATGAGCTACCCGCGATGAACCTCAGCGTGGTCGCAGTCGCTTTGACACCGTCATGTTTAGTATGAATTTTAACTGTTATGCCGGCTTGGCTATATTTTTCATCATTCCGTTTTGCTCTGTTCGGTTTTTTTGTTTTTTAACACGGCACCTTATAAATTATACAAGTGTTAACTGTCTCTGATTTCTATTATCGTCCGTAAGCTTGCAATCTAACTGAGCGTGGAAAACTTTAAAGTTTGGACTGTCGACCTCTTCGTTTTCTGTTTCATGATTTTCATCTCTGCTTACTTTATAGTAATGTCAATTACGGCGCTTGGCACTTTTTACAAAGCTTTGTTTGGTTCTTCTGTTGCTGCTTGCCGGATCGCTTGCTCCGAAATTTCATTCTCAATTCATGAAAAAGAAAAAAAGCTAGAGAAGTCCGGGAAAGGGTCGGACATGAACAATTTTGCAGATGGTGTGACGGAGAGTTAGTTTTAGCCGAGCTCTTTACTTTGTACACTGATAGAACACGCTCTTTCAACCAATGACATCGCGCGTTAGATCCGAATTTCATTATAACATGATCTATTGCACATATTTTAAGTAGGCTTACGACATAAATAAACGAAATTCGCAATTGCTACGTGTTCTAAAAAACAGCATAAAATTTAATTCTGAAAGTTTAAGAATTGTTGCGGACTGAATTTGAGCAATTTTATTATTAAAGTACCAATGCTTTGTCTTTAGGGTCCAATTCTTGTCCACATTCAGTTTTTGTCTTTGCAGACTTGAGAACAGATATACCAAGTTGAACAGCTCGGCTGAGTTCACCCTTGTTGAGGTATTCATCCAGCTTGTTACCTTCCCCGACTACAAAACCTTTTAACTTGTTTGCAACTTCTTCAAGAGATGAAGCACATAGATCAAGGCCACATGATGGCCTTACCTGCAAGGAATAGGTGAGACTTATCGAAATATCTTTTTCGCGTTTAAGTTAAAGTTTTAAGCCATTATTGGATCCAAGCGGTGATGAGAGAAAATTGGATAATATTGGAAGTTGTGTTTTAGGAAATAATGAAAGGTTAGCGAGTACGCAGAAATCAGTTTCTAAAGAGCGTTTACAAATCAAATTGCAAAATTCAAAGATTATGAGTTGTGTAAACAGAATTCCCCCGTATATAAACAATTGCAGTACCTTGATAAACAATTTCTCTACAACGGATACTCCAGCCGCATTCTTAATGACAATAGTAACTTGTTGTTGGAAATCTTCGTTCGGCGATCCTGCAGATAACATTGTCGACACAGACGAGGGTGACGTGCCATAAGATATAGGTTCCTCTCCAAGTGCAAATTCATATGTCAATGGTAAGCTCGTGTCCTGCCAATTGAAGCAATTAAAAGTAAACTCAGTCTCCAATGAGACGCCTTCAGAGACCGACGGCGCGCAGTAACCATCATGCGGCTCTCCAGCGGTTTCAAAGAGGAGCACAGAAAACCCGTATGCTTCTTTTGAAGATGTTACATATAATGTTAGATTATACTTCGATTTGGATTGTAATGAATTTTTCTTGATTATCATATCGGTAGAATTTACAGCTGTTGAAGTCATGTTGGGTAAAATAGGTATATTTTTCCAACTGTCTGGGCCTATAAGCATGGACAAGCGCCATTCGTAGACAGATCCATTGCAAGTGAAATTAAGACACTCTGATGTCACCCGGAGCTTGTTTGAAGCAGACACTCTTGCGTTACAATCTATAAAGCATCTAAGGAGAAAAAAAAGAAAAGCATAGACAACTTACGAAAAGGTGTAAAATCAACTGCAACTAAATGGTACTTAATCAAAAGAATTCCCGGCATCAATTACGGAAGTGAAAACACAGCTTTAGTCGATTGGCGAATTGCCCTTTCAAACCACCAGCTGCATGTCTTAAGTAAGTCAATGTTAGTTTAGGATTAGTCTTATTAAAGAACGACTAGCCTTTTCGAGTTCTATCGCTAGATATAGGTTAAGTAATCTACAAATACAAAGTCAAATATTCATCTGAATGTTAAAAGCACTTTACTTCTCTATTTTTTTCAGTAGGATTATCTTAACTCTTTCATTGAAACGCTGCATACCTTTCTTAAGGTCTCCTTTCCTAGTTTAAGCATGTTAGCTTCTGGGAAGCTATGGTTCTATAAATAAAAGTCAACTTCTTTCAGACTATACATATTTGTGAGAGCTTTCCTTTCTCTATTCCTTGAGTATTACATTTTCATTAACTAACAGTTTATCCTGCATAAAAATTACCTGAGGGTCACCTGTGGTACCTCTCCTACAGCTATCTCAAAGGACATTTCGGC